AAATTGAATTTTAAAAACACTTTCTTAGTAGAAGCAATCAACGATAGTAAGATAACGTAACTGAAAAAGTGGGGATAATTGAAGCAGAAAAAAGAGCAGATTACAATGTAGCGATTCAAGCAATTTATCAAGTAATGCGATCATCGCTTATGCTAACAATATTTCATTGTCTCTAGTAATTAGCTTCAGCGGAGTTGTGCATACGTATAGATCATATTTATACATACAGAGCGATTTAAGCGGAACTAAACATCGTCGCTCGAAAATGATTGTTAAACGCATAAAACAGCGAAATGCATAACGAAAGTTTGAAAACATTAATAATACTTTGTTCAGTTAATAACACGTTGCGAAGAGTTGAAAGTATCATTCTGCTTCTTTATATGCATGTACTACGACCATTGTACGATCTGTCGAACAACAATAGTTCAGCTAACAAAAATAACGTTAGAACGACCGAAGGTGTACGCATGTAAATATGCGGTTGCAATTCTAGAAGAGGAAGTAAACCTTGTCATTCGTGTCATGTGGGCGTTCAAGGTGAGCCTTCGCGATCATACGATGAACGCTCTAATAGGTACGTTTTGCAACACTTTAAAATGCGTTTTTAATGCGATTTGATTTCTGTCGACGGTGCTACGAATGATAGTGTCATTCTATATATGTTTTGCACAGACAGGTGGACAAAATTAATTATAATAAAAAAGAGTGAAATGACGAATGTAATTAATAGAAATGATACTCTTACTTTCATTATTAATCTAACAACGGAAGTTTTACAGATATTAGGAATTCGATAATAAGTTTAAAAATTTAGTTCAAATAACAACGTAATTTGCTTCCTTTGATGTTAGGAACTCCAGCATGGCGTCAGAAGGCTTCACGCCATGTTGGTTTTTCTGACTTGAATCAGATGACCTTGAAAGTGTACTCAAACCTGTCTATACGATTGTGTGCTAATCTCATGTTAGAATCTCAAGGTGTTGTGCACAATGTTTTACTGTTAGCTACTTATTAAACGAAAAAAGTATAACAAGTTTATCAGTCTAAAAATTTTCTGAAGTTTTCTAGAATAACTGCTTTCTGGATAAACGAAACTGAAGGTTAAATTGATTTTCTTACGATTGGCTACTCCCATAGTCCTCGGTTCCAACAATAACTCAGAATATAATTAACAAATACTTCTTTCGTGAGTTCTGTGTCAATGGAAAATAGAAAGTTTTTCAATTTCGAAAAAAGAACAATCAATATAGTGCCAGATACCGAAGATAAACGCCATAGTAAGCTAAGATTCGAAATGGAAATTTAATTTATTTCAAACGAATAAACCGAAGGAATGTAACAACGGACAATAAATATGTAGAAAGTGCCGCTGTTGGTGAAGTATCTTCGCAAAGACGAAAGAAACTGGAAACAAAGAACTGTTGATGGAAGAGCAAGTCAGAGGTTTGTACGTGGATCATTGTAGTTTCCCTAACATTCGCGTTTACGAAATAACTCGAAACGAATACAGCGCGCGTCAGTGCATCGCGAAATGAACGAAGAATATTTTCAACCGATGAAAGAAAAGATATAGCTGCCGCTCTCATTGAATTAGTTACTGCGATTGCCTGTGTGGATTATGCTAACGTGTGGAACTAACTTTCACTGCCCGGTATCAGCGCAAATAGTAAATAACGCGATATCAATCTCAGGCTTTTCTTTGTATTTTCTTTCGTGAAACTTATATTAAAAAAGAAATGGAACTTGAGATATGAATTAGGTAAAGCAACTGAACAATAAGTAGAAATCGAATGCTAAGCAACAGTTTTTGTCGTAATGAAAACACGCGATCAATACGCAACTTGGGAAATTATAACGAAATCTTTTATCTTATTTCTGATCTAATCAACTTTTTAATCACGGAAAATATACCTATATTTAATTCTCAGTTCTTGTAAATCGAAAACGATCTAGCAATATGAGATATTATATAAAAATCAACTGCTTATTCATTGGGTACGCTAATTATTATACTGCTTGTGCTTACGTAAGTTCACATTCCTAGACACATTAATTTTACAAAAAGATGAAATTAAATAAAAATTTGTATTTAATTTTCTTGTTATTTTTTTAAGCAATCGATGACGGAGTAAAAATAGCAAAAAACTATTTTTCAGGTCTTTAGATCTACGCCTCTTCAGAAGATATTAATTTCTTATAGAAAATATAGATGATTTTAGAGTTTACGTTTACGATGATTTATCTGCTGCTTCCGATGAGCTTTACTTAATCTGTTAACCCTTAAACACTCGCAACGATATCTGACGCGTGCAAATCCCGATAAGTCGATAATAATTTATTTTCGTGGCGTTTTGATATTTGAAAACAGAAGCATTAGCAAAGCTAAACAATATAATACTCGAACTAATTTAGAAACACCGATCTGTGTGAACTGTTAAAAATCTATGTCATCTAGAAACTCTAGAAAACTGATCGATTACGATATTTGAAATGGATAAGTCAAATTAATTCACACATATAAATTTTAGATTTTAATACATTCTGTGTATTCAAATTTACCGAACAATTGAAACAAATACAACTGTTTTTGAATCTAAAGATGATGCATTAATCTATTAAAATCTATTAAAGTGTAAGTAAATTACTAATATACTGTACGAAATACCCAAATATGAAATTTCTTTTACATAATTAAAACTAATATTGTCACTACAATAAAAACAAATGAATATACGTTATTCGCAAAATATTACATTTTTAAAATCAACTGCTAGTATTAAAAAATATATTGTTCTAAAAATATTTTGAGATTAAATTTGTACTATCGTACATCTAATAATTGGAACTTAATTAATCCTTATTTTGAAAAACGGAGTTTTTATCAATATCTTTAAGGCACCCTGTATATTACGCCACGACAGAAATGTAACGGGTGTAAAGAATACAAAACCTTCGCAACAATCGCAAAGTATATGGAAATTGAAATTTGTTCGAATTCATATAAAATGGAACCGTGACTATTGGCAATCGTAAATTTATGGGAAGCGCGCATTCTATAACGGTCGTAGCTCCAGAAATAGATAATCGTCAACGTTGTACATACGTACGCGTGAATAGCGTCGTTGGAACGTGTATTTCAAAACATTTAACCCTTAGCAATCCAACAATTTCAATTATTTTTATAACATCCATAGTGAAAATGAAAAAATGTTATGACATTTCTTAGATCTTTCGTTTTCCTTTTTAAAACAAAACTTTCATGTATGGCAAATGCAATGATCTTAGGGGAGTTTCTTCAACTTTGTTAAGATATTTAATACTATAAATGGTTCCGTAGCGGAGCCTATAGAGTGCAAAGGGTTAAAAAAACGGCAGGGCTTGTCGTCAAAAAGATACGCGACAAACAGATCCAATTCGCTTTGCTCATCGAATCGCTTGCAAATTTAACGCGAGCTTCGACAAAGACTGATCGATGCTACGGGGCACTAAAGGGCTCTGTGCAGAAACCATCATCGTTCTAGAAAAACTGATGAACACATGCACGCGCCACTGTTCAGAATTGATAAGCGAAACGCGACGCCACGTTACGCAAAAATCAATTTCTTACAAATCAGGTCAGCAATATTTATATACATTGCAACTACTTCGGTTGTTTACGTTGGTGTTACTTTACAATTATTTATCGAAATATCTCCACCATCATCCCCTAACTAAATCTGCATCGTGCTCAATACGAATCTTTAATTTTTTATATAAAAACTATTCCAACAAACTTATAAAAGAAATGTTTCCTGAAATAAATTTGTACGTCGATTTTTAATTTTTCAGTACGAGTTATACAAAATTTGCGACCACGTCAAAGTGACTCTCGTATTGAAAAGATTATATTATACTAATACGTTTGCTAATACGATCATTAAAGTGAAAAAAAAAGTGTCGAATGCTTTTTTTATTATTGCCCACGACGGTTTACATTCGTTTTTTGCATCTAAATGAAATGATTAACGTGCGCAAGGGAAACGGAAATAATTAGTCACTAACGGTGTCACGCAATTTATCGATGATAATGACGCTTTTCGCGAGAAGAGTATCGATTGCGTCGTGGTTCGTATTAACGGGAACCTCGGATCATCGGTTTCAAGCGTTCTTTAATTTTACGTGGAATCCGCGAACGCGCTTTGTCACTTTGCGTCATTCCTGAAACGTTCGATTTAAGATCGAAAGACGCCAGTGACGTTTCAATTACCGTTTGTCGCGTTTCGCCTCGTTTCAAACCTGTGCGCATACGCCGATTACTTTTAGACACAATTCAAATATTTCGTCTACGTAAAATCGAACGACGTTAAAGGGTCACGTGAACTCTTCTTTTTCTATTTTTTTTTCTTCTTTTTTATTCAAATCGAAAACAAGTCGATAGAAGGAACATGATACGACACAATACAGGATGCAAACAAAAGGAAAACAAAGTCAGAAGGTAACGTCGAGAAGCTGCGCGTTAACGGACGAGATAAAGCTGCGCACAAAACGAACGGACGGTAGAGTCAGCTGGTTAAAAACAGCTGTGTGTCCCGTCATCGACGAAACGAGAAATTAAATATCTGTGGCTGTCACGAAACACCGTTGACATTGTACCGAGTTTTTCCCTGTCGACCTATAAACCAAACTTACCCCGATATAAACAACCGATTCCGCAGTCTAACGTTCCCATACGTACTACGTAGTCTTGTTGCATTCGCAACCATGTGCAGGCCTCTCTTGCACACGATTACAAGCACGTGCGATAGAGTGAAAGAGAAAGAAAGAGCGAAAACCAACGAGGTGTAGTGGGAGAACTGCGAGATGGAGGGATAGGAGGGGGAATAGTGGTGATGTCAGAGGAAGGGATGACAAGGAGAAGAGGGGAGTGTAGGAG